AAAACTGTTGTTCTCCCAGCGAAATGTCTCATAAAGGACAAACTATTCACTCAAAAGAAAGAAATATCATAAAAAATAGTGTAAAATATCATCAAATTTATGAAATATTCATTGTTAAAAAAATGCACATAAAGTTTGCGAAATAAATATTTTTGCCAAACGATCGCCAAATAGCAACATTGTTCAGGATTGCTCACAACCTTCTCCCAAAAATAGCGAAATAGTATCGTCGCATACCACGTGATGAAGGCGGAGCCAAGTGCCAACTCCTGGTGAACGAGCTATACTAAGCATGCTTGGGAACTAAACACTGGAGGTTCCGTGTTCGGCCGACCACCTGCCGGAACATCTGCTCCTGCACCTCAGAGCCCAAGGTCAAGAAAATTGAGATGGGCACAGTAGGTCTTGACCCTCTATGGGCTGTCGCGCAGCTGAGTTTAGTTTTAGTTTAAACTTTGTTTCCCTATAACAAAAATTAATTTTATGATTGTACCCTAGGATAGTGACTCCTTAAGTTGTGCACCACGTTGTTCCAGAAGCTCCGCTAGTTCATTTAATGGGTTGATTGATTGCTTCAGTCTGAATTAAGAGTTGCTTGATTGCTGAACTGAATAAAATTGCGGATACAAATAAGATATTTTTTGTCTTTCATTATCTCATTAATAGCACCAACTTTTTTTTTCTTAAAAGTTACTTCAACTTTTCACATGAAGTATATATATTTTGTTAATTTAAATTTTATGTCAAATGAAAAAAAAGTTTTTTTTTATGTTTCATTGATAATATTCTCTTTTTCAGTGTTACCAAAGAAATGAGCTATTAACTAGCCTGAGCTAAAGAAACGTTTGAATACCAGTAGAGATGGAAGTACAATTGGAGAAACCAAAAAAACGAAGTTTGAAAGACATTAAGAGAGGGAATTTCTTTGAAATCTGGGAAGTAGACGCTCCTGAGAAAACAAGTTTAATATGGTCGATTATGATACCTTATTTATTGTCTTCAGCTGAAATTGAAAACTTTGAGAATAGTATGCAGATGCTTATTGGTGATAATGATGAAGTTCAACGCCTAATGAATATAATTAGTTCGAAGAAGAAATTGAATTCCATAGATATACAGAGTCTGATTCGAAGAAAAAATCCTTTAGTAGACCAACAAGAACTATATACTGAGAATGATTTACATAATTTAATGCGAATATTTAAAAAAAGATTGGATTTTCTTACGAATGACTTGAGCAGAACAACGGGTAAGCAGTACAATGATTTTCTAAAACTTCAAGCAGCAGCAAATGTTCTTAAACGCCAGATAAATCTCTTTGACGAAAATAATGTGTTATTCAAAACATTCATTCCTGATAACTTAATAGAAGAACTTGTTAAAAATGAAGATTTAATTCTTTTTGTGCGTTCTGTTGGTGAAACAAATTCTTTTCGATATGGTGTGCGAAATGACTATGCTTTGTATTCTAGAAATAAATATTTAAAGCATATTTTGAAATTAGCTAAAATTCCTTCTGTTAAAATTAAAAGCATTTTTAATCCACACCCTTCAAAGCAATTACTTCTCCAGATTCTACAAAGCCCTGCGCGAGATATTGTACATCATATTTATCAATCAGCTTTCATTTTGGAAACGTTATCATCTGCAGGATACGATATGAATCCAGAATCAAAAGACATCGAAGGTTTTTCAGCGTTTTATCACTGTTTAAAATACCATGACTGGGCACTTTTTCTCGAACTCTATAACTATCCCACAAAAAGCATACATTTTTCAAATATAATTGAAAATGATCATGATCACCATTTCAAAGCATTAGAATCTTTTGAAGTTACAATAACAAATGATTATGAAAACATGAAGAAAGATTTGTCTGGCGGATCTCTTCCTATCCAGTCCTCGTATGAACAAATCCTTCCTTTCATTTCATTCCATAAAGATTTCCTGAAAAAAAAGAACAATATAATGAAAGACCCTTATTCAAGTAATAGTGATAAAGCTAAAAAGTTACTAACGTTATTAATAAAAGAATACGACAGTCATTTTTATCTACACAATAATCCAACGCATCAGTTTGAAGAATACTTTTCAAATTATGCATATCATGAAATTCTAGATGGTTATATTATTTTGTGTTTCACTGATTGTTTCATGTCATTAGGTAAAATAGTTGATGTGAATAACCAAAAATCATTGGAAGATGCTTTAATAAATTTATTGAAGTATTTCAGCACTAAAGTTTTTTTTGAGAAACTTGGGTTCAAACCGAGCATTGGTATTCCAGAAGAGAAAACTATTCTTTTTGCATATTTTTGTGACAGAACACATTGGAAGTCCTCCCTAGACGTTTTGCTGAAGACATTAGTGTGTAGTTATGTTGATGAAAACAAGAAAACAACACAATCTATTCTTCAAACATGCATGGAAAAATGTCCCCTTTTAAAGGAAGAGTATGACATTTTGAATTTGGATGTGCACTTCCAAATTGCAGATGCAGCTTATCTTTTTGCAGACCAATTAAATTCTGATCTTGTTGCCGAAAGAGCCTTGTATATGATTGGGGAAACTATTTGTAGCATAACAGATGAGTGCACGGTTACTCCATTACTACGATATTATCTGCCATCAGACTTAGAAAAAGCTTTTTGTAATTTGCGAAATAATTGTTTCGCTCATTATAAGGCAAGTACAATCAAAGGGAGGGAAGCTATCGAAAAAGGTTCAGATTTAAATGTTATTCAAGAAGAGCTAATGATATTGTATTTTGTAATTTCTCCAATATTTGCACTACAATATTATCGAGTAGAACGAGAAGTCCTTGAAAACTGCGTTGAAGATGATAATATCTCCTGTACAACGCAGTCATTAAAATTTCAAATTGTTGAGCAATCGCTGGTAATGGCAAATAGAATTGAACGATCAAGAGAGCGTATTTGTAGCTGTTATAACGATGAATATGTGCACCTACTCCATAAAATTCTTGAATGTATTTTGCAAGAATTAAAAAGAAAGAAATTAATGAAAGTTAAAGAATTACGAATGCGCTTTGAGCACTTGAAAACTTTGCTCAATTATGATAAACACAATGTCAAAATTTGGAACATTTGTACTAATTTATTGCAGTTAGATGTGCAAATGCGTAAAATCTTTGAACAAAATGCTACAACTATAGAGTCAGACATTTCACAAAACATGTCGAATGAAATTTTAAATCTTATTAAAAACATTGAAAAAGAAATTGATTCTTACGAATCCAGTATAGCTCAAAACTCAAAGGATAAGAAGAAGTTTCCGAGCTTTAAACCTTTAATCTGCATGATGGGAAAGCAAAAATTACTAGCTCCTTTTCAAGCAAACAAGAGAAATGATTTTCTTTTGTATATGTCAAATACAGAGAAACAAATATTAACAACACAACTCTATCAAGATATTAAACAAACTTTTCAAGAACTGGAAACTAAAAAAATAACAAAATGGAAAGAATTAGAAATTCGTTTCAAGGGTTTCCAATCTACTTTTACAATTTTAGAAGACGAAGTGAAAAGGAGGAATATTTTTCATAGGTTATCACAGTTAGTTATGCAAGTGGATGCAATATTTGAAATACACACTACCGCCATAATGACAGACGTTTCACAGGACTTGGCGAATGGTATTTTAAATATTTTTAAGGACGTTGAAAAAATATTTGATCCTTATAAATCTGGTATAACACAAAAGATTGAAAATCAATATGAGTTTACAAACTTAAAAGATTTATTTAATAAAATAGAAAAGTATGAATTTTTTTCTCCCAGTGAAGCAGAAAAAATAAGGGATGAATTTTCAAAGTTTTTGAAGAGACCATTTGAATCAAGACAACGATTAATCGATCACTTAAACAGAAGAATATGTTTAACGACCGAGGAAATGAATGCAGACGTTAAAACTCTTTTCGTACCAAAGAAATTAAGAGAAAAAATAAGGAAGAGTTTGAAAAAAGATCCGGCAAAAGCTTTGTTAATGATACATGACATAAAAGACACTGTGGAAGCAATATTGGGCAAAAAAGAAGATACTAGTTATAAATTCATGAAAATTTTTTTGGATGATATGTTTATACGAAGAATTAAATTCCTTAACCTCCCTTTGAATCTACATGAAAAAATAAGAAATCTTCACTCCCAGAAGCTTGATTTTGCGATTGAAAGGCTTCAATATATGAAACAAGTTCTAACTAAAGGCGACCAACACTTATCTAAATGGTTAGACAATGAAAACAAGACATTAAAAGAAGAAAACTACACGAAACAATTAATGGTGCAACGTTATGCGAATGAAATAGGTACCAAAGCTGCGTTGGAAACTCTTTTATTGGATTATCTTAATATAATCCATAGTAATCGAGAGTTTGATGAAATGAAGCGGAAATCTTCATCTCTTTTTTGTGGTATCAATTTAAGAAACATTTTGTCCCACCAATGCCCAGTTGTGGAAGTTTCGAATAAGGTTTTGGACGATAAAAATTTAGCCAATGAATTTATAAACAAGGTTTACATGTACTTGGAAGATTTAAAATCCTTGGTAGCCATGTCAGATTTCTACAAAATCATGAACTATCCAAAGAAGAAAAAGTTTGAAGAACTCGTAAATGATGACACTCAAGATGCATACTCACATTTTAGGGAAAACATTAAATCCTGCAAGAAATGGAAACGTTATTTATTTTTACTTCCAGAAAAATAACTTTAAAATTTTATCATCTTCTTAATTATCTAAATCAGGGCTTCTTAAAATTTTAATGTGGGTATAATAATGTTAACAAAAAAATTTATGGAACCCCAAAAGCATTGTGCAAATCCAACTCGCGCGTGAATGAAACTGTCAGTTTTTTCACTTTTACTGTAATATACTATTGCGTTCATCAACTTTAATTTTTAATTGTTTAAAATTTGTAAGCATAGAAAAGCTTACAAATTTTAAACAAGTCACAATTTAAAATTATAACTCAACAATAAAAATAAATTCAGTTACTTGAGTAAATTCACACAATAACTTTAATCTGTGAATATGTAGCCACTTGTAAGGTTATTACCAACCAAACTTACTTACATTGAGTAAAAATATTTGGTACTTGTAAAGTTATTACAATAAGTTAAAAAAATAAATCTTAACATTTTAAATGACCCCTTACCAAAATAAAAGACCGAAAGAAGACTTGAATATCGAAGATCAGCAACTTTTAAAAAAAGAGAGGGCGATTTTATTTGTTTGGTCATACCACTGCAATTTCCCTATTTTAGTACAAAGGATTACATAATCACACTAAAATTATCCAGCATGATAATATACATTACCATCAAAATAAAAATTTATATATTTTGTCATATCTGCTAAAAAGGTAAATTTTTGAGACGCAAATTAATAACACATTAGATTTTAAATCAATACCGGACAGTCTATAAATGAAAATCATAATTTATTTCTTGATTATTATATAGAGTTTTGTTTGAATATGGATAAAAATTAGGCATATTGCATCATCGGTACACGTGACCACTTGTAGTTCATTGTACGGTTCCTTGATATTTTTACATAGATAATAGATAAAAAATTATACTTTTATGTCCAGATCAATCTACATTTGTTAGAGCAAACCAATTCAGGATGGAAGCACTCATCAGGATGACTGGTGCCAGCTTAGTTCATAAGCCTGCATGTTGCATTGCTGATTGGCCCGACATCATCATAACTAGCTTCATCCTTTTGGCCTCAAAACCATAAGGACAATTCAGGGCTTACAATATGGAATCTTTTACCTCTGGTTACATTACTTTTTTGCCTTTTTTTTTTTGCATATTTCTTGCCATACAATTTCAGCTTTTTCTTTTCATCAACACCTCGGTAGTGATTGATGCCAATTTCCAAATTTTCATAATTGGAAACTTATTTCTTAACAGTGTTGCCAACAGATAAAATTCATAAATTTAGAATTAATTCTTAAGTAAAATTTAAAATATTATTACTCAAAATTATAATTATAGTTCAGTTATGTCATGTATATTCTTATGTTATGTTATGTATACAATTGTACATTTAAAATTTATTGATATCAGAAATACATTGAATTTAAGGATACCGATTGATATTGAATTAATATTTAAAATTTAATATTAGTAAACAATTTAAACATATTTAGTTTCGTATGCAATAAGTTCTCAGCGATTGCATTTGAAGTTTAATGTGTTTTTCAAAATTATATACGTTTTCAACAAATCAATTTCCTTGATAACGCATGTAAGATATGAACTATGCTCGTTTGAATGATGTTTAATTTTAATACGGTTAAAGCATGTTTTAAATTCTATTTATATGCTTGTAATTTGTATGCTTTTGTGAAAAATTACATATTTCTTATTATCTATGGTATTGGTATTTTGTATTCTTTTAATATTTAAGATTGCAATTTTTAACGGATTTAAATCAAATTTGGTTTTGGTTAGTTTCTTGACAAATCAATGCTTAATGTGTTATCCTCGGTATGATGTTGTTGCAAACATTTTGTATTCTTAGTCAATATTTTAAAGATTTTAACGATCAGCTGTATTTTTTAATAATTCTTTGACTTAAATTTTCTTGTAACTATGCATAATATATTTCTATTCTCCTACAAACTGAATTTTAAATGGTTATGATTCTGTCTGAATTGCTGCTGTGGAAATTTAAAAATATCTTCCCTCATTTTTATGCTTGTGAATTTTATGTGTCAAGAATTTTTGTATTAAAAATTAAGTACATAATAAAAGTATTATAAAATAATATTCGTTTATATCTTTATATATTCATACATAAAACATTTTTTAAATACATAAATTATAATTTTTTGTAATTTCCACTATTGAAACACAGTTCTTTATTCGCTGCTTCAAACTAGTTTTCAAGCATACTAAAAGTGATCCCACTATTTCGTATCGTACATGAATCATGCATTTAATTAATATCTATAATATTGCCTCAAACCAGTTTTCAAGCATACTGCAGGTGATTCAAAGGTTTTGTAGTGCACATGACTCGCGGTATTAATTATAATATATTTCTTGAAGAAAAAAAAAGCATTTCATAAATGCCTGGGCAGTAGCAAAATTCATATTCAAGTGAGATAAAAGTTCCTAATACAAGACGCTCATTTTAAAATTAAGATCAGAACATAATTATTATAATTAATGTATAGTGTGCAAAGAAAAAAAAAACCCGGAACGCCCTGAATAGCTTTTGATCTAACGCTTTTGCTTAATGATTCACGGGGGTGAGCTCAAATATGCCAGTCAGTTAGTGCAGACAATATTTTTTTTTTAGTTACAATGTCAGACAGAAAAACGTACAATGGCGTAAAACCCATTGATTCGAAGGTCTGTTGGAGTTTAAATGACCGACCCAGAAACTGTCAAATTTAATAAAGATATTCGTTGTTTAATTGTGTAGTATATATCATATATATCTGACAAAGTCAGACCAGATCTATGAACCCGCTGACCTGAAGAAAATCAAATACCAAAAGAGGAGTAGAGTAAATGTCTTCCCAGAGAAGACGAAGACAGTAATGGTTATTGTTATAATCTTTCAGATTCTTGATTTCGTCTCGTAATTCAGTTCTGACTTATTGGTTATTATTTTTTAACCCAAAACGAATAACGTGTATCCAGCTAGTAGTCATATGAATAAGAATTTATGTTTAAAATGCTTCACCAAGGTTGTTAACAAAAAAAATCATTTCAGACTTTGCTTTTATTTAACAACTTCAGTTTAACCCTGATGATATTCTAACGAAAATTCATTTTCTAAAAATATTCACTCATAAACTGATTCTTTTTTTTTACTTCGAATTAAATTTATTTTTGTATGTGTTTTGTAACGTTTATTCCATTGCGCTGCTAGTAACTTTCGTTTTATTTACTTAAGATACGAAGATTTACCAAACATTGAAATGAATGCTTATTAAAGCACACTACTTTCTGTCTGACGTTGCAGACCGAGAAATATCAAGGCCAATGACCAGCTCATTTTAGTTTCACTTCTCAATATCAGTCTTCATTACTACATAATATGTTACGTTTCAAGGCTGTCTGTTTACTTCTTGTAATGTGACGTTAGCAGCAATCTTTTTTATTCAGGAAGGTATTTCAGACATGACCAGACTTAGAATTACAAAACAGTAATTCCGTGTGATATCCGGCATGTTTTTAATCTATCTTTATTTTTCGATCTTTAAGCAAATATAAGTAAGTTATTTAAAAAAATTTATGTCTGTCTGACCCTTTGTGAAGTTAATTAATAACATTTCAGTATACAGTATTCATCGTTATGCAGTATTCCTCGTATAACGTTTTTCAAAAAATATCTGTGTTATAGGATTTATTGAAATAGAAAAAAGAATAATAAATAGAATAGAAAAAAGAATAGAAAAAAGAATAAATTGAATAGAATAATATATTTCGCTAGGTAAGTCTAAATTTTAGTGTTCGTATTATATTATATTAAACACATTTTCTATTTCAATTTACCGTTTTCCCTGGTTCGACTTGGATTTTGTTCTTTTGTTTGACGCTACAATTTCTAACAAATTTTTAGCAGATTTTATTTATGAATATAATCGGTTTTCAAAAAAGTATGCATTGTGCAAAAGTATGCATTTTTTCAAAAAGTATGCATTGTGTAAAAGTATGCCTTTTTTCAAAAAGTCTGTATTAAGCTGAGAAAAATCATTATTCAAATCTGTTGCAATCATTATTCAAATGCTAATGAAGAAAGTGGCGTGCAAAAGTTTCCATAATTACCAAGTTTCATCAGGAAATTTCTAGAAACTGGAAGATGTTTTTAGTAATCGCTGTACACTTCCCATCTGCCACCTTCTGTAATTCAAAAATGCAATCGAATATTCGACAATCAAACACTAGAGATGAAAGCTGTTTTTAAAACACTTAAACCCATTCAATTGCTTGATGAAAGTTGGAGACGTTTCTACTCTACGCTCTGTTTCCCTAGAAAATCAAACAAATTTTGGTGAATTCCGTTTGGTCTTACTCTAGTAGTGATTCGTTTGATTCTGATAGCGATTTCCTTTTTCAAAATATAAACTTGAGATCCCTTAGTGTTCTTGACTTCATATTTGATAAGGATTCTAAAAATGTATTAATTACTAGAAATGTAGTAACTAATTACTACACTGAGAAAAAAAAATTGTGAAAACTACCGGAATATGGTAAAGTTTACTGTGTTTCTGGATCTATGAGAACACAAAAAAGCTCGGTATTTTTTACCAAAGCTCTTTGAAAATGATTTTGACAAAATTAATAATAAAATATGGTTTTGGAATCTGTGAAAAATTTGGTAAAAGTGGTAAAATTAATTTGGTAATTTTATCGTGATACCTAAAAGCATTGCTGAAAAACCATTTATTCGGTTAAACTTTACTTCTGTATTTTTAACAAGTTGTGTTTAGTAATAAGATCTATAATTTTAAAAACAAGAATATCCAATAAACCGTTACAATCTGAGCAGAAAAATTACAATGAATTACCAAATGAATAGTTTAAAAACCGTATATTTTGGTGTTATTAACCAGAATTATGTTTCTTTTTACCCGAAGTATTATTATCATACAGGGCGGTAATTATGCAAGAATTTTTTTCTCTTTGTAAAATTACTAGAAGTTCATTTTAACTAGAATCTTAAAAAATTATAGATGATAACGATTAATATTATTTACACTGATGGTGATAGTAGAAAAAAAAAAAACTTTTGAAGTCAGAAAGTAATTGAAAGTTTAAGCATTTGTGGTTCATATTATATTTCATATTGAAGTGAACAGAAAATAACTTCTCACGGTCAAAATTATGTGCGACACTGATTCATATTTGATGGGGGGGGGGGAAGATAATGCTAAAAGCTTTAAATAGTAACTTTATCAAATAATGTTACTGCATCAAAGGTAAGTAAGTATACTTTTATTAAGTTTAATACAGTTATGTTAAAATTCAATTAATTAATCCTGGTAAATCACTGAGCACTGAATATATCCAAATGGTTTGATTGAATCACTTTTTGTAGAAAAAGACCTAAGTCCCGAATCACTTGTTGTAGAAAAAGACCGAAGTCCCGTTAGCAGGACCCACTCCGTCGATCGGTGCCGGTAGAAACGGCTGATTTTACGTTGTCGAATGAAGTGCCCCCGGCAACAATTTTTCCAAGTCCAGAAATAATGTAAATATTTTCCAAATTCAATAAAATTTATATCCAAGTGAAGCTGTTGATGATACGAAACCGATTAGTAAAGAATTAAATTAAAATAAACACTTATTTCCGCTTAAATGGGCTGCAAAACTGGAGCACAGGATTGCACATCCCATTCTCAGGACGTCTGGGTGACGACTGTGTATGCAGTAATGTTAGAAAAGTTTAACGGGATGGAAGTGATGGTAGTCTTGTAAAAACTTGTAGTCTCGATCGAAAATAATGGTGAAATAGCTGTTTTGCATTGTAGAAAAAAATAAGGTTTTTTCATTTGTGAATGGATATTTCTTCCAAACCAAGTTTATAACTATTCTCCTCAATATCTTCGCTACAATTTATTATGAAATCCAGCAAATGAATTGAATATTATATAATCCTTAAGCAGGAAAAAAGTGCATGTAGCGGACATCTATATTGCATTATTTTCGGTAACTTTTGCATTTAAAAATTATAAGTTCTAATGCCTTCTATAATGCGAAATATAAATTATAAATTCTAGTGCCTACAAGTTCTATTCTTTTAAGAGCCATTATTTTGAAAATCTAACGAAAATCTCAAATTTTGATAGTTGATGAATTTTCTGATTGGCTTGATTTTTTTTTTTTTATATTGAGTTGAATACTATGTAAGTTGAACCTCCTAAAAAATTTCCCTCCCCTGTAGGAAATTTCAAAGCTCAGGGTCATTTCCTTATAAGAGAAATATGAGTATTATTAAAGGAGTTTAGCTATAAAGAAAGCCAACTACACCCTCAAAATTTTTTTTCTAAATTACTAGTATATCACTACCTTGTAACTGACATGCACTCTTTTCCATGGGGCATTGTTGCTTTTCAGAGTTATGTTCCGTCAAAGTTAGTGAAAAATTTAGTTTTCCGCCTATTCTGCCCTAAAAATCTCAATAATGCAATTTGAAAAACGCGTGATGTAACAAGTCTTAAATTCCGGAAATATGACTCAAAAATAACATAAATACGAATCCCGATGTGTGAATTAGAAATCACTTTAATACAAATCGTAATGTGTGCTTTGTGCGTCGAGTCGAATCGTGACTTGTGATTCGTAATTTTCGGAAAATAAAAGTGAATCTGCGAAATTAAGTTATGTCTGAATAACGGCAAAAATAACATCAAGAAAATGTAACATAAACGATAAATAAAATAAAATATATATGGGTATTAATGACTAAATATACAGAAAAATATTGAAAATGCTTGCTTAAACGGTTATGGTGTTCTAAAAGAGACGCACAAAAGTACAGGAACACAAGATCTTAATTTTATTATCTCATTATACGTAGATAAAAGAAAGATGTTACAGGAAGTTACTGGTTCATAAAGATTCCATTTATTTAACATGATCTGAAGGAACAAATCCATTATAAACCAAAGTGTAACTTATTCAAATAAGTGATATTAAAGCAAGTTATAGTTTAAATAATTGCGTTCTATGTAGCAGCAGATGTAACCATGACTGCAACCGCAACTAAAACTGAGTCACCATGTTACGATTTCCATAACAGTAGAAGAT